GCAAGAGCATCTACTTTGCTAAGAGCATTTACCGACAAATACTCAACTGAGAAAATCGGGACGGCCGGGTTGTCACCATCTTAAGCCGCTTGCCCGGCACTTGATTTACCTTTGTCAGTTATATTCGACGAGTGGTTCCAGGAGACAGATGGGATCGCCACTAGTGGATTATGTACAGGGCTGTGAATGAGGAGATGGAAAAGGAGATATGTCGCTTTATAGTACGCAACTATGTCAGCGAATACGCGCAAACATGACATAATTAAATAAGTGTGGTATTATTTTCATGTCCAGACCTGTACCACAGAGCTACAGAACGGCCAGGCTTGTAACAAGGTCCCGGTGAATGTATCTGTGCAGTACACGAAGCTAGTTAGAAACGAGACACATATTACGGAGACCCAAGTGTCAGTCCTCCCCTGCAGAATTAGGTTTTAAGTAAAATCAATACATTAAAAAGAAACGGTCTATCAATAATATCTAAAAAATAGAAATAAAGTAAAAAGTGTGTGTAGTGTGTGTGACTATGGATAGAATAGCAGATTCCTGCCTCAGGCTAAGCCCATTAACACTGATGCAGTGGATGTACTTAAGCCTTGGCCTATTCGAGATTTATTTTTTGCTCGAGCTCTTCTTGTCCTTGTCCTTGTCCTTCTTGTCTTTCTTGCTCGAGCTGGCCTTACTCAAGTCCGCATATTCATACTGGGGGACATCCGCGTACTTATACTCGTCAGGGTTGTCGTAGGATGGCATAGCTTTTTTTGCCTCCTTTTTTGATGAGTACATCTTCATCACGGTGGGATTACCTTTGTCGTCGTACTGGACCGGATATGCAGACATTTTTGCTATGTTAGAAGCGACTGGTTTAAGATGAATAAATGTTGCTTGTTAGCTGGTACTTTGGCTTTTTGATGAAGATAGGCTGAGATTGTTGATCTGAGGCTGTCTGCTAGATGAAACGAATTTTCTTGACGTTGGAATAATCGTATGGTTATATAGTCGTCGTCTTAATCCCAACATCTTTCATCAACGTGAATCAAATCTAAATAATGCCTTTATGCACTCAACAGCACGTTTGTTCTAGTAAGATAATAGTTCAAGCAGCCTTGATAATTACGAATAAATCAAAGAGGCCTTTAACACACAGTTTTTCAACAAAGACAGCAGTTTTATCAACATCGGTAACATTAATGGGTAAGTAGTTAGTACTAGAGGTAATTTGCTCAGAACGGAAATACAAAGGCGATTAATTTGGTAAACTCACTCTATACACATATTAATGTATCGTTTCCTTCTCGAATATTTCTTTATCAAACAATGCAGACGAATCGGTACATTTCGCAACTCTGATAAGAGAGCGAACATGAGGAGCAGCGCATAGTTTACATCGATACGTCCATAGCAGGAAAGATTGTACTATGCTTCTATCGACATAAATGAAACAAGCAATACAGTACGGATGTGCGCACCACTGTTCTAGTTCTCCTATGTCCGGGACCGAGTGAGTTTAACTCTACGTTAGTGATGGTTGGCAAGGAGCTCCTTGACCTCGTCCAGACGTTTACCCCTCTTCCATTTCTGCCAAGTCTGTAACATTGCTCGTAGTGCAGCGGCTTATATCCTTTATGCCGCTTCTCATACAGTGCTGAGCAATGTCTTCAAAATGCCATCATGACCTCTTCGCGTGGCAATGCGTACTACTGATTTAGGCACCCCTGTACAGTCTGTACCCTATGGCGTGGAGAAGACCTCTTCCGAGATGGACACTGGTCGAAAGCCTCGACAATCTCTCTCTACCTGCTGTGTGAAAGTTGCGCTTGACTAGCAACCAAAGGTACAAACGATGTCAGTATCAACAAAGGGACCTCGAGAGCTATCGAACCAAAGTTTCAAGACGGAAGCGCCTCGGACTTTGCGCGAAATGAGAAGATAGACTGCCTCTTTCTGGCCGCATGAAGTGTGTAGAATGTAAGAAGCTCACGGCAAGAGAATATGCAAATGCAAGAGCCAATATGTCAAAGGAGGAAGGCAAGTGTATGGTGAGGAGGGGATGCCCTAACCCGGTCCGAGTGGGCTACAGGTCGTGCGACTCGCATTACGAGTGTGAAGGGAGTAAGTATTTCGAGTTGATAGTAGCAGCCGGCCAGCCTCCCTCTATTTAGAACGAGTATCATGGGCGTCGTAGTGCTTGACGAAACACTTGTATGGGCCTTCTGGTGTACGTATGAGATTCAAAATATGGGCTGGCCTAACAAGAGCCTCTCTCGTTGCGTAGTGATGAGGCTTGTTAGGCCACTCTCATACATGAACCCAGTTGGTTCCTTTCCCAATTTGAGGAGTACAAGGATTCAATACTATAATCCAAACCTTTAGAACATGCTCAAATGCATCGAATCCTATTCGCCGAATATCTGGAGCTACGAAAGCCACCCGAAGAGTGGAGAGTAATATGAAATACGTAGCATTGACATCCGGTGACATCCATTGTTGTCTGGCCTCCAGGAAGCCATAAGAACGTAAACGAACCCGAGTTAAGTACGATCGCTTGGTACGAATGAATCATTATAAGATTGGGCTTGAAGCGTCCCTCCGACCTGTTGTGATCTCCGTGGATAGTATCAGCCTAGATGTGCTAGTAGACAGCAGGATGCCTCCATCATGCCAAAAATGCGCCGAACCAATGAGCTGGCCTTTGTAGCTGCAAGGCAAATACCATGTTCTCTCAATGACTCGCTGGAATTAAGAATTTTCCTGTGGCAGAATTCTCCTTCTTGATCATGTACGAAAGCCTATGGTGTCGAGGGTAGAATGTCTAGAGTGATTGATAAGCACGTTATAATTAAAAGTAATAATAAAAATATAACAAAAAAGACGAGTGACCAGAAAGTGCACTCAATATCAGAAACACAACGAAAGAATGCAACAAGTTCCTGGAGGGGAATACCTTATGTTGCAAGCTTGATAAAGAGTATCTCTTATCGATTGCATGGTGAATAGCTTGCACGGCTTGATTAGGTATCTAGGTACATAGGTTAAGGTCAGTGGATCCTAGCGTATGTCGATGGCGGCGTACCAAGCGAATTTGCCCGCCCAATAGCCTGCGCCCACAGAAATCGATGTACGTGCTAGGTGCTGGTGGTCTAAGCTTTTCTTTGGCCACCGTCCCCCGGGCCGTCTCGACTCGCCTGGCTGCAGGTGCCCAGGTGTGAACAGGTGCCGCTGCCCCCGCTACAACACACATCTCCGGCCGTCACGAAAAATCAAAAACACTTCTACAAACTGCAGTATTACCATTTCCACGACATCAACCTCCCTCGCTCCCAGCCAAACACAGCGAAAATGGCCGACTCTGTCACCCTGCGTACTCGCAAGTTCCAGCGGAATCCCCTGCTTGCTCGCGTTCGTCACCACCCTCCTGCTGTTCTTGGTTGGAGATGCTAACCTATTTTTTGTGTGCAGAAGCAGATGGTCGCGTAAGTTGAACCCTCCTCGATATCCTCCACGAAGACGAATGGCGAAAGTGACAGCGAAGACGATCTCAAGAGTTACAATTCCGCGCTCCCCGCCCGTCTGTGTTCCCCTATTGAACATGGGTTCCTAACGCATACTTTTTTCTAGCGACATCATTCACCCCGACCAACCCGGTATCTCCAAGGTTAGCCTCCAGGAGAAGCTCGCTACCATCTACAAGGCGACCCCCGATCAAGTCAGCGTATTCGGCCTGCGCACCGCCTACGGTGGTGGCAAGACCACTGCTTTCGCCTGCATCTACGATTCCGTAGAGGCCCGCAAGAAGTTCGATGCCAAGCACCGCCTGGTGCGTGCTGGCCTAGCCACCAAGACCGAGCGTGCTTCCCGACAACAGCGTATGTCTATCTTCATGGCCCTCCTGTCTGCTCTGCACAGTGTCTTACCCATCTTTTTACAGGAAAGCAACGCAAGAACCGCATGAAGACGCTCCGCGGTACCGAGAAGACAAAGGGCAAGAAGACGAAGAAGGAATAGAGCGGGTTTTCATATGGGTCATAACGGTCAGGGATAGGGAACGAGACTAGCTACATAGCCAAGTAGTGTTTCGTGACGAAGGCAATGCTATAAACGCATCTACATTGATACCCGGTACCAGCCAACCGATCCTCCATTACCTTGCAACAAAAATCAAAAAAAGATTTGTGACGAACTCGTTTCCAATCATTAGCCGTGCCTTGCGAAGCCACTTCCTAAATTCCTCACCTAGGGGTCGTCTCATGGCCAAATCGATGCGTTGATTTTGTTTGTTTCCTTTGGGTGGCCTGAAGATTGAACATCGAATACGCACGTGCGACATCTATTTGGTGCCTTTCCGCAACTCTGTCCACGGCCCATTGTCTCCTGTGTCATCGTGCTAGGGTCGTTAGAATTCGCTTCCAACCGGAAAGCGCGATATTTCTGCTTAGATGGGCTGACTGACAGCCTGATCCGAGGACGTAAGCTACTCATATCCTGTGATGATCCAACCAAAATCATGCTTGCAGCTTCCCTCCCTCCGCCAGCGTACCGATCGGGCTGGACACAACCTCCAGTCTTCATTGTATAATCATAAGTATCGCCAGGTAGATTTGGGAAAGCTAATCCTACTACACTTCAACTTTTAGTGATTATGAGACGTTCGGTTGTCAAAGAATTTAGCTATTAAACAAGATCTTAATTAAAGTTGCCGTAATATATACTAATATCGCTTTTACCCAATGATCATGTTCCATACATGCATCGAACTCTCTGGATGGATATCGTTTCTCAACTCGACGTAAAGGGCCTAACGCATGAGTCAACACTCAATACCTGTTATTAGAGAGATGTATCTTGCAACTTCAACCTTCATTTTAACTAATGGAGCTAATGCTTCAAATTTTAGAAGACTTCATATAATAGGGAAACAAATACTGGTCCAAAAACAAAAACATAACAACTCTAGTTGCAAGTCTTTGGAAATGAATGTAGACAAAATTAGGAAAAATAACGGGCTCAACCGGGATTTGAACCCGGGGCCTCCTGCATTCAAGTTGTAACCCAAAGCAGGAATCATACCACTAGACCATTGAGCCGCTAAGTTGGTTAGATGAATGAACAATCCGACTGTGGAAATTTATTCGCAGTCGAGTTTTATGATCCCGTAGGCAGTGGGGATTATCAGCGTTTGAGAGAAATTCTATTCGCATATTGAGACAAGACCTCATTGCCACTATTGCAAATATTTGATCTGTCTTGGGTTCGAGATCCCAACTAGCTTGCAAGCAAGCGTTAAAACACTGACGACTGATTTTCACATTAAACACGTGTAATAAGCTCCCGCTTAGCTAAACTGCTTCATTGGCGGCTAGGTAAAGAACTCCATCCATCCCACGTATCGCTGTTTTCATAACGAAGGCTGTAGTATTCCTTGATGAGATATGTCTGACTAGGTGACCAACATATTGGGATCCGAGGCTATAGAGAATGGGGAGGAAAGGATAGATAGCACTACGGCGTCGCAGACATGTTTATGTTACATGTCTGTCCCTCAGCACTTGGTCCTTTCAGGTTGCCCGATTAACATAAAAGCCCAGGTCACAACCACTGAGGTCGAAAGATGGCGGCGCATTTTATCACGGTCCCTAGAGCCTCAACTTGTTTCCTCTCAAGGCTGATTACTAGGCCAGGGTGTCGACAAACCGGGCTTTATACTCCAATTACATGTTCCTGCCTGATTGACGCTGCCTATCCTGATGTGAAGCTTAGTTTCGACTGCACGAACGGAACGAGGCATTCTTGTGCTTTCGAAATGCCCCAAATTGGGAATGGGGAAAAAAGGCGACTAGAATAGAATAGAATAGGTACCAAAAAAAAAAATCTGTGTTATGACATAAGTATGTACTGGGAAGAATAATTGGAACAAGACAGTACCGTTCACAAAGCTAGTGTGCCGGCCGTTCGCATTGCAGGGCTCCAAAGATTTGAAAACTTCGAGCCGAGGGGGAGATAGATGCTCGGAGAAATAGATACGCCTATGGTTTTTCTATGATTCGATGCCGGTGTCTACACCCTAACGGCCGAACCTTGTAACATTGAATTTTTCAACTAAATATTATTATTATTTCTTTTATTCTTCATGCTTCTCGATAGGCCATGCTGGGCATGTTTCTGAATCTTTGCATTCTATAATCTCAGTCAGGAGTAATTTAAGCTTCTAGCTCTTGGGCTCCATTCGTATGATTTGTGTCGTTCTTAGCCCCAATTCTCTCAATGCACGCTTTGAGATCATTGTTAAACACAACATCGTACGCGGCACGCATTTCCCTCTGCTCGGCATCGGTGAGCGGAATTTCAGCCCCCTGCCTGCGGTGGCGGCTTTCTGGAAGCTCCTCTAAGCTTGCATTTGGGTCCTGTCCTGTCTTGTCTACGAACTCGTAAGAGCGGTACTCGGTGTTAGCCCAGCCAGTGCCTGCGATGAGCCCATTGTTAGTCCTATTGAAGACGGAATAGAGACGTGACAACTAGTGAAGGGAATACATCTTTTCTGCTCGCCGGACAGGGCGTGTAACTTACCGCGCCCAGGGCTTATGCCTTGCCAGTCCTCGGTAATGAAGTGCAGGATGCCGCCATGAGTGACCAGAACCACCTGTGAGTCGGCGCCAGCATCCTTAACTAGGTCCCGGAGCCATAGCCTTGTGCTGCGGGATCTAGCCTTAAGCTTTTGGGGATCAGGGTAATACTTAGAGTCAGGCGTCTTCTTGTTCCAATCACTCGTGACGAAGTGAAAGTCGACGAGGTCGCCGAACTCCTTCTTCAGCTGTTCCCGATCAGTGCCAACGTCACAGGGGTAGAGGGATACCTCCTAATCAGAAATCAGGAGTTAGTAATTGCCGCTTATGGTAAATATCGAGCTCATTCTAGGAGGGTTTCGGGAGCATGCAGGAGTTATAGAGAGTAGAAAATCCCCGAATAGGCAACTTCTACTCTAAGACACGCCAAAAAGGGGGGGGAAGACTCTAGACTGCTAACCTGGGCATCTGGGAGGGCAATGATCTTCTTTCCTGCCTTTACCGTGGGAGCAAAAGAAAGCTGACACGTGAATACGGTACGCCGAATTGGCGAAGCAACCAGGTGAGTGATCCGGTCGTGGTAGGGAAAGTTCTTGCACAGCTCTTCGCATTGCTTCTTGCCGAGGTCGGTCAGGTCCGGGTCTCTAATCCATTGGCTCTCAGCATTGAGGTTGTGATAGCCCTGAGCATGACGGACTAGATGGATGACTGGTGCCATTCTGATGATGTTATCTTAAGTAACTGAAGAAAGCTAATCTCGACGGACTAGAGTAGTACCTTGCTTAAAGACGATTTGGTCGCGCTCGTGAAAGGCCAGGATCAAAGGCCAAGAACAAAGCGGCAACAATACAAGTACTGGTCGATGTGATCAAACCGCACGCAGAGAACAAAAAGAAACACCCCTAGGCGAGATTTGAATACCAGCACGGCGTAACTAGAGGGATCTTAAAGTAACTGCGAAGACGCTTGCTTCGGTGTCAAACTGTGGAGACTTGATGCCAAGTAGTTAGTCTTCTGGATCAAGTTATTTTGCAATTGTGTCGGATTTGTAGGCAAGGGCAATGCTTTTATAGACCGCAGCAACAAATGACTTGAATGCAATGCACGCTGTTGTCACCTAGTGAGTAACGGGATCGAAACCTCTATATAGGACTTGACTTCATCGCAATCAGTGTTGGTCAGTATCCATTGAATAATCTTGCTACAAAAGTTGTTAGTTCATATGACTCTTCATCCCGCTCCACCTGATCTTAGTATAGGGTCCGGGTCCGGAGGCCTTGCATCGCCACGAGATGTTTTGGGAGGCCTGATTGGGCCACTCCGCCGGCAGGGTCAGCTATTTCTGACCGATACTTGTTTGCATTGTATAACGTATAATATGTAAAGACTCGACTTGGAAGAGGTGAATACCAGTCGACACGTGGCCAAGAGTAATGGCTTTATGACAAGGCTACACGCGAATTTTGACGGTTTGTTGGAAGGGAGTATTCATCGTATTTAATTGCAATCATTCTGCGGAGGGGGCCGGAGCGACTGTTTATTGTGAGCGCTCTTAGGATCGTGGATCGCAAGTCGGCCGCTGTAATCTATTGTGTTCGAGTAGGAGACATTGTTCTCGAGCATTGTACAAAGAGCACGACACTGGTCATCAACTTCGTTAACAAGTAGGAATAGTTGCAGACGAAAGATGCTTCATATCATATGCAGTCTTTAGTAGATGGGATAGCGTGCTATGTCCTACGCTATTGAAGCAAACACTACATAGAGCCATGGGGCTGTAAGTGCGAGGAAAGATAATCGGGGTTCGTGACATGAACGAGGCAGACTGTAGGTTGGATAATGAGGAAGTAGAGTGATTCGTTTCGAACCGAGTTTCTATTGAATCTACACTGACTTCCATGTTGTGTATCTTGCGGAAAGTGGATTGAACCGTGACGTGTTCGAACTCGTGAGACCTAGCTAAGAATGATATAATGCCATCATCTGGATAGGCCTAGGCTTGAAACACCTGGTCCGGCATAGTTACCTCACCTCAGTCTTAGTCTGCGTGATATTGATGAAGGAACTGCAGTTACATAAATAAAGGGTCATTAATATGAATTAGAGCGTCCAGGTTGTCATATAATGTGTCGCGTCTCCAGAGACTTGGGCCTCAGGGGGCCTGTTGTATATTGGCGACCATGGAATGCCGCCCTATGTTCTTGCAAATGTTAGTTTCTTGGTCACGCACTGCAACCACAATAATATCCAGCTTCAATAGTGCATGCCAAAGATAGTATAAAGGGAATTTGGAGACTGTTCGTAGGTGACCAGTCGCTCCCGAGGTCCTCGAAGACTTCACCTTGGCACGGAAATGGATACGTAGAAAATGTAGGTATGCTGTACAACATATGACTGAGGAGATAGATATGATCATAGTCATCAGTTCAGACAAGTACATGTCTTACAGAGTGATACACAATGCCAGTCTCCGCCTCCTAATCCCCAGTAGAACAGTACGTACCGCCATGACGGATGTACTTCGGTAATGGTGTTCAGTGTCCCCGAGATTACCGCTTGCCCTTTTTTGAATATTCCAGGTTGTCTTGACTCAGGGATGGAGGCCCGAGCGCCTTGCATAGCGTGCGTCTGCAGGCGCTAAAAAAACCCCATCTCAAAAGATTGGCTGGGGTTGATGTTAGGCTTTTTCTGCTCGCGCGTATCTAGTCTCAAGTCGATATCATTTCCCCAAGTTCCACACCTTTACTCCTGTCTCCTTTTAAGATCCATTATCACACATCACAACCCGTTGTTGCATACATCAAGCTTCCAAGACTATTAACTCTCTTTCCTTTGCGGACTCAGCATCAACTGCTACTGGAATCTTTTCCGAACAAACTGACAGAATGCCTGGGATTCGTTCGTTCTCTTTTCTTGCACTCTATCCTGATTGCTTTGCCCAACTTCCCTCTTCCGCTGCGACGACGGTGATAGGCGATCTCTGCAATCGTATTAGTAACCATCGTTAATGCGGACAAGTCCTTTCCTTTCCTCACTTCACGCGGCTCAGCCAGTAATGGCAGGGTCTGCTCTATTCGCTTCGTCTACTGCCTTGCACCACGCATGCATACTAACTTCCGTGTCTTGTACAGCCCCTAATGCCCTTACCAATCTGAAGGCCAAGTTCCAGGCCGTCTTTCGGAAGAAAGACAAGAAGAACAAGAAAGCCACCGAGAGCAAGCCAGCCGGCGGCCCCACCGAGGGCGCCAGTGCTGCAGCTCCTGTCGGTAAGTACAATGTAGAACCCATACATCCTAAAGCACAATATTCGGAATGCCAAACAATCGAGGACCCTCACACCATCTGATCGATTTTGACTTCGGTATTTAGCGGCTGCTGCTGCCGTTGATGCTCCCGCCCCCGTGAACAAGCCCGAGGAGCTGCCTGTCGCTTCTGATCCTGGTAAGTCGTTTTACCCCGCCATCGACTTTCCGCCAGCACTGCTTTGCACCACTTGGAGCGTTTGATTTGCGAATAGCTGTCTC